CAGCTGGAGGCTCGGGTTCCACCCTGTCCCCAGGCTGTGCCCGGAGGGGGTGTGGGGCGGTTCTGGGGATCGTGGTCACGTGGATGGGACAGTGATAAGGGTCTTCTGAGGTGGCACCTGAGAGAGGGTGTATAGCGAGTGGACGTGGAGCTCACCCACCCGTGTCCTGCCCTGCGAGGCCAGGCTGCCTCATCTGCCCAGCTTCTCGGCCACCCCGCCCCCGCTTCATGCCTGGGCCCCCGTCCCAGCGGGGGTCAGTGTTCCTCCCCCACGAGGCCCCCCAGGGGACATGCACGGAGGTGGGCGAGGCCCACCTGGGGTGCGGGCAGGGTGGCGGCCAGCCGGGAGGCCCCGCAGTGCCCCAGCACCTGTCACACGGCTCTGGTCAAGCACAGACTCCCAGGTGCAGTGGTCACAGTTTCAAGGCAGTGACCGCAGGGCGTTCCTCGGGCTCAGGGCCATTCTGTGCACGAACGCGCCTCTGCCGTGGTCACTCACCCTGGCCCGAGCCGCCACCCTCTCCTGCCGGCTTTCAGCACCGGCCTCCTCATCGTCAGCTCTGCCCACACTGGCCAGAGGGCCCTTCGAAGACTAAGTCACATCATGTCCCTCTTCCGGTCATCGTCCACACCGTCTTCCCGTCTCCCTGGGAATTCGATCCAGAGTTCTCATGCTCGCCCAGTGCTCGTGCTTGGACCCAGCCCCACGGCCGGCCCTCTGTGCCCCGCTCCGGGGAGCTCGCTCCCCCCCCACGCCCGTCACCTGTCCTTTCAACCCCCTTTACTGAGACGCACGTTACGTATGGTAAGTGCGATGAGTTTCGACAAACGTATACGCCTAGGTGTCGGCTCTCCAAGTGACACTCGGAGCCTCCCGTCCCAGACGTGCTGCCGGCCGGTTCACGGCCCCTGGAGCCCCGCCAGGCCGGGCAGCCCCCTGGCCCCTTGGGGGTTCGCCGGTGAGACCTCGTCGTCGGGACCCTGCAGCACGGAGGGGCCGTCTGTCGTTGCTGGCCTCTCGCTCGGCGTCATGCGATTGGCGACCCCCCCACGTTGCGAGCACTGGGGGTGCGTTCCTTTTCCTGGCCGAGTAGCGTTCCTTGGCGTGAACGCAGCGCACTTTGCTCATCCACTCGTTTCTCACGGGGAGACGCCTGGGAGTGGGGTCCGGGGCTGCCATAGCAGAGTGCCACGGCCTGGGCGCCCTCGGCCGCAGAAGCGGGTCCTCTCGCAGTCCCGGTCTGGTGTCCGTGGGGCGGGTGCCCCGTGAGGCCGGGAGGGACCGTCGGATCCAGGCACCGCTGGCTGGCGGGTCACGGATGGACTGGTGTCCCCCGGCGGGCGGGTCTCCGCCTTCGTGTTCACGGGGCGTTCCCCCCATGTGCCTGTCTGTGTCCAGATTCTCTACTTACAAGGACAGCGGTCACCCGGCATTAAAGAGCCACCGACTCCGGTCTAGACTCAGCTGGCGCCGTCTGCAGTGACCTCTTTCCGGATAAGGCCACCTCCTGCAGTCGTGGGAGTTGGGGTGTCACATGCATAGGTGATGGGAGTTGGGGTGTCACACGGCGTAGGTGGCTGTGGACGCGATGGCTGACAGCCGGCCCCGCACGGTGGCCGTCTCGGTTTCGAGGGTCACTCTGCCCCGTCCTTGCCGTCTGTGGGCCTCCTGACCAGCCCATCCCCCGCGTTCCCAGAACTCTGGAGCTGGCTCCTCATCTTTCTGCCCAAATACCTTCTCGGTGATTCTGAGGCCCGGTGGCCCACACGTCCACCATCCTAGCCCCAGCCCCCCCAGCTTTATGGAGGTCGTGACCCTTGCGGTCGTTGGCCCGGGTGTCCTCGTCACGTGAGCGCCGTCCCGGTCACCGCCGGCCACTCTGTCCACACAGGCCGCACTTCAGCCTCCTGCCCTGCGGCCTGCTCACCCCCACACTCTCTGGCACCTGCTGCCCGACCTGGCAGGCAGGCCAGCTCTCACACCAGTCAGGCTCTTGGGGTCCCAGGTGACAAAACCCACCATGAACTCCTGGCTCACCTACCGGGCAAGTCCAGGGGACGACGGCTCGGGCGCGGCGGGAGCCACAGGCTCGGGGCGGCAGGGGGCCCTCCGCGTTGCCCCATCCCTCCCTCTCTCTGCGAGCCGACTCTTCTCCATCAGGTGTCTCCGCCTGGCTGCCCAGGTGGCCACTGTGCCCCCACGGCCTGCAGGTAGCAGATGCCATCGCAGGGCTCCGAGGCGGCACCCGAGCACGGCGAGCGGCCGGCCCCACCTGTGGCCCGTCACGGAAGGTCCCTGTGGCGTCCGCTGCTCCGGCTCCAGCATCTTGACCCTGCAGACACCGTCACCCTGAGAGGGTTTCGACTCCAAGTTCACGAACAGCTTATTCATCGGAATGATGCCCACCGCTGCCGGCGTTCGTCGAGGAAGCGTGTCCGGAAGCCGAGCGCGTCGGGCCGGCTCAGTTCTCGGGTCGGCTTTCGACGCGCGCCGGTAACCGCTGTGTTTCCGTTTTTATTTTCAGTGACACGTCGACGCCTCCGTTTTTGTAGGTTTTCCGGGGTTTGTTTTCCGTCCGCGTCCGATGTTGACAGCCACTTCTTCGGCTCCCACGCCATGGCCCTGAGCTTATCCCTGCATCTGTCAGGCCTGGCCCCCCGGAGGCCCCTCCACGCCCTGGGCTCCCCCTCCTGGGCCCCTGCTCCTCCCCCAGCCCCCTCACTGTCATCCTGCCCCCGCTCTCTGGGACAGCCACCTCGAATGGTGCGTCTCCGCCTGAGCCCCCTGCGGCGATGCGGACTTCCCGCCTCTAAACCCTGCACCTCAGCCAGCCCCACCCTCAGCTCTGGGCCCCAGGCTTTCACTCCAGGGGGGCCGGAGTCCTGTTCCAGGCGGAGGTCCTAGTCCAGACTCTTCTGCGTGTCCTGCACCCCCATGCCCTGTGCGGTAAGGCAGCCCAGCCTGCGGCCCCCCGGGACCCTGCGCCTCACTCAGACATGGTCGGGGCACAGCGGTTTCCACGCCCACCCCATCTGCACCCCACGCTCCCCGACCGAACTCCGCCTGTGTGAGCACCCCCTCCCCCATGGCCTCGCCAGGGGGACCCAGTCACACCTCCGCTCCCTGACCCTTCACCCCTCTCCGCGTCAGTGGAATCGACACGCGTGTCCCCGGAAATCCCGCCGTGCACTTGGGGACATTCACCGGGGGCCATAACCTACTAATTTAGACAACTTTGTTGGTGCCTTCGCCAGCGGCCGGGAGCCGGGGCATCTTGACGCCCTCTTGTCCTGGTTCGATCGCTGACCCGGCACCCACAGGCCTGCGCCCCGTTTGCGCTTCCCTGGGGACACCCCGCAGGGCCCACTCCTTGCGCGTAGCGGCCTCTCAGACAGGGACAGGAACATTCCAGCCCGGGCCTGGCCGAGCGAGGGTGCCGTGCGGGGCCGCAGGCGAAGCCCGGGGTGTCACGGAGGGCGACGCCCAGCGCGAGCTGTGTCTGGAGGAGCAGA